CTAGCTATCTGTTCATCCGTTTATCCATCCATCCATCCATCCATCTTCTTTCTAGCTATCCGTATCTCCATCTATCTAGCTATCTGTTCATCCGTTCATCCATCCATTCATCCATCCATCCATCCATCCATCTTCTTTCTAGCTATCCGTATCTCCATCTATCTAGCTATCTGTTCATCCGTTTATCCATCCATCCATCCATCCATCCATCCATCTATCTAGCTATCTGTTCATCCATCAATCCATCCATCCATCCATCATCCATCTTCTTTCTAGCTATCCATATCTCCATCCATCCATCCATCTAGCTATCTGTTCATCCGTTTATCCATCCATCCATCCATCCATCTAGCTATCTGTTCATCCGTTTATCCGTCCATCCATCCATCCATCTTCTTTCTAGCTATCCGTATCTCCATCTATCTAGCTATCTGTTCATCCGTTCATCCATCCATTCATCCATCCATCCATCCATCCATCTTCTTTCTAGCTATCCGTATCTCCATCTATCTAGCTATCTGTTCACCCATCCATCCATTCATCCGTTTATCCATCCATCCATCCATCCATCTAGCTATCTGTTCATCCGTTTATCCATCCATCCATCCATCCATCCATCCATCCATCTTCTTTCTAGCTATCCGTATCTCCATCTATCTAGCTATCTGTTCATCCGTTTATCCATCCATCCATCCATCCATCCATCCATCCATCCATCCATCTTCTTTCTAGCTATCCGTATCTCCATCCATCTAGCTATCTGTTCATCCGTTTATCCATCCATTCATCCATCCATCCATCTTCTTTCTAGCTATCCGTATCTCCATCTATCTAGCTATCTGTTCACCCATCCATCCATCCATCTTCTTTCTAGCTATCCATATCTCCATCCATCTATCTAGCTATCTGTTCATCCGTTTATCCATCCATCCATCCATCTAGCTATCTGTTCATCCGTTTATCCATCCATCCATCCACCCACATTTTTCAGAGTCTCTGAGCGACAGCACTGTGAAGTAAACCTTTATCTGCACGTTGAATCGGATGGAAAGTTTAAATGCCATGTTTAAAAAAGCCTTCATTCTCTTTCACAGCCACACCATGCTGTGTATTTTCACCCTACTGTAAGTTTTTGTTGCCTTTGTGTGTGTGTGTGTGTGTGTTAGTTCACGACAGCAACACCTGCCATACTGGAAAATGCCTTGAGGTTTGTGTGCTTTACTGTGAGCCTGAAAGTGCAAGTGTTTACTCTCCTCTCCGTGTCTTTGTGTGAGCGCAGGCCAGATAAGAGCCGCCACGCACCAGACACACGCTCAACCACTGTTTACTTCTGAGGAGGACAAACAGACGAGTGTGACCTGCAGCCGGCAGGTGTGACCTCCACACGACACCGGCTCAGATCAACAGACACATTACTTTTCATAATGACACATTGTTGTGACACACCAATCACAAACGCATGCATTTTAATGCTCTTTCATAGCTGAGGATGCTAATTGGTGATCTCAGTTATGTTTCAGTGTCGGATCACTTTTGGACGCGTGGGACTGAAGTTGACACACAATAACAGTATAGAGCTGTGAATGTGGAAAGATGTTTGCTCTTGTCACTGTTCAACAAGTCTGCTTTTATTAAATCACATATACAGTAAAAACAGTATTATTGTAAAATATTATTACAATCTAAATAGTTGTTTTCTATTGTTATATTTTGCAAAATGTCACAAGATCCTTCAGAAATCACTCTAATATGATGATTTGCTGCTCAAGAAACATTTATTGTTATTATTATTATAATAATAGTTTTGTGGATTCTTTGATTAATAGAATGTTCAAAAGAATAGCATTTATTTGAAATATAATTACTGTATATTTAGTGTCACTTTTGATCAATTTAATGCATCCTTTCTGAATAAAATTAATTTATAAAAATGAAAAATATATTTAAAATTACTAACCACAAACTTTTGAATTGTAGTGTACCATATTCATATCCCATAGAATCCATTTCCAATTAAAAAAAAAATAGTACCTGCATGCTAAATGTGCCCAAACACACACGGTGGCATCACTGTAACATGTTCAAACACTCTGAGAATTACTACGGTACACATCCAAACGGGAAAAGAAAGACGCTAGTTGTTGGTATTTTATTGTTAGTGAAGGAAATGCAATTAATCATTCTCATTCTCTCTCCCAGCATGCACCAGCTCGCTGGATCCGACCTCAGATGATGGAGACCAGCTGAAATGTGTCCAGTTGAATCATTAGGACACACACTACAGGCCAGTCATTCAGAGAGGCAAGTAAAGTCAACATCCAGCCCTCTCGATGATGCTGAACTAACGCTGATTGATCACTGCCGTGTGTGTGTGTGTGTGTGTGTGTGTGTGTGTGTGATCGGTTTCAGCTGTAAATCATACCAGCTTGTTGTTTGCTGTATCTTCAGATGCCTTTACCTTGTTTTGTTCTGGTTTGTAAATGTCGGCCTCAGTGTGTGTGTGTGTGTGTGTGTGTGTGTGTGTGTGTGTGAAAAGGCTTTATCTGCTGTTATCTCCGCCGGCCCGCTCTGCAGCTGCTCTCCACCTGTCACTCACACAGGGAGTGGTGCTCATGGTCTGGGCTGTCTATGTGTGTGTGTGTGTGTGTGTGTGTGTGCGCGCGCGTGTGCGTGCGCGTCTGTGTGTTTGTGATTACAGGGTCGCAGAGGGTTGCATTCTGTAATAAAATACACTGATGGAATGCATGTAAACATTAATTAATACTGAAGATTTGTGTTGCACGTGACATTTCAAGCAGTGATGTGATAGATTTCATTTAAAGCCGTTTTTACAGCATTTTTCTAATTCTTGTGCAAGTGATTAATATGAGTTTTTATGAGATCATGCTACTAAAGAGACGGCATGGAATATTTGTACTTAACTTTGAGCTGAGATATATACGGTGTGTGTGTGTGTGTGTGTGTGTGTATATATATATATATATATATATATATATTAGGGCTGTGCAAAAATTAATTGCGATTAATCGCATCCAAAATAAAAGTCTGTGTTTACATAATATATTTGTGTGTGCTGTATATAATTATTTTGTATATATAAATACACACACATGTATGTATTTATTTAAGAAAATGTGTTATTCGTATATAAAATATTTATATTTATATAATATAGATTATGTATTTATATACATATACAGAATTTAAGCACAAATAATTCTTAAATACTGTATATACATGCATGCATAGGTATTTATATATACAAAATAATTATATACAGCACACACAAATATATTATGTAAACTCAGACTTTTATTTTGGATGCGATTAATCGCAATTAATTTTTGCATAGCCCTAATATATATATATATATATATATATATAAAATAATATAATATATAATAATATAGACAATGCAATATAAAATGATAGGTGAAATATTTATTTATTTATTTTTAGTAATATGTAGTAATATCTAATATTTAGTAATATTTATTTGCAAAGATAATACTTATTTTACGTATACATCTTATATAAAACCTGTTAGTGAAAACAGCAAAAAAGCTGATAAGGATATATATATATATATATTAGGGCTGTCACTATTAATCATATCCAAAATAAAAGTTTGTGTTTACATAATATATGTGTGTGTAATGTGTATAATTATTTTATATAAATACACACACATGCTTGTATATATTTAAGAAATATTTTCATGTATATACTGTATATAGATTTATATATAATTTATATTATATATAAATATAAATATTTTATATACATATTTTTTTTCTTAAATATACATGCATGTGTGTGCATTTTTATATATATAAAATAATTATACACACTACACATATATTATGTAAACACAAACTTTCATTTTGGATGCGATTAATCGAGATTAATCTTTTGACAGCTCTAATATATATATGTATCCTTCTCAGTTTTTTTGCTGTTTTCACTAACAGGTTTTATACAAGATGTATATGTAAATGAAATATAGGCCTACTATATAATGAGGAGATTTTTAGTTGAATAGTAGACGAGAACATTTATCATAATTATCAGGCCGGGCCAAGTTGTCACTTGTGTGTTAAATGTGTACAGTTTATTAATCATAATTGTGGTCTACCAAAACAGTAGTTTGATTTTTTTTTTTTTTTTTTGCACTTCATTGTTCCTGCTGTGACAACTTGCCCCAGTATAATGCTGTTAACCATATCCTGCCCTCTAACAGTGGAAAAGTCATTCATTGGAATACAAATGTGACAACTAGCCCCGGCTCTCATATAACGCTATTTTTGTAAGAATTTGTGTCAGATCTGTACGACTCTATTTCTCAGCTGTGAAGTGAGGTGGTGTGTGGCCATGAGTGTGTGTGTGTGTGATAACCTTTGGGAGGCATCTGCATAACAGCAGTGTGTCTGAGGTGCTGCATTGTGGGATTTGGTGTCTATGGTGAATTCTCTCTGAAAGTCCCCTGCATGCCGACACCAAGCAAGGCTATTTCTGTTTTCATTACAGTATTTTCAAAGAATTTCAACCACAATTTCCCTCCTTCCAACCAACCCAGAGACTACAGTAAATTATTTTAATATTTTCCCTGTATCACCATTTATTAACATTCATTAGTACATTAACATTGTCACTGTGCATTATACAGTGTTTAACTGATCACTGATCTTTTGGATAGTTTACAATTAACATAGAAATACTGTACCTGGAGTTTTTCACCATTTTTTATTCACCCTTTAGCTTAGTAAAGTATAATTTCAAAAGTTTCATTTACTTTCTGTATGATGTCACGAATTCTATAGGAATTAGAAAAAATTCAAAATGTTTCAAATACACTCTAAAAAATGCTGGGAACCCATCTTTGGGTCAAATATGGACAAACTTAGCCTTTGGGTTAAATGTTTAAATGACATTTTTAACCCAACATTTGGGTTTGTCCATATTTGACCCAAATTTGGGTTCAAACAACCCAGCATGTTTTAGAGTGTAGTTTTAGATGACGTTTTTTGAAGTAAAACATCTGACCATTTGAATCACCGCAGCTTTTTAAAAGTTCAAATATTCCATTTGTTCTCCATATGATGTCACACATTCTACTGGAATTAGATTAGTTTTGCTGATGATGATTGTGATGAGGATGTCATTAATCACGCACACAGAGTTTTAGGTCGATGTGTTTTATTAAGTGCAGACGTATCTTGGTACAGAATCCAGTCGGACACATTTCATTGTATAAGATGATGATGATGATGAGGATGTATCTCTCTGTGTTCACAGTGTCTGGGTTTCCACATGACAACACGCACGATTGCTGGAATGTCACATCAAAAGTGGATCCCATTTTGACTTTTTGGACTGTTTATTATTATTATTCTCATTATTTTAAGCATTTTTGGACAAATAGCAACTGCAGAAACACACAAGCGCCGAACATGAAAAAAAACGTGACAAATAAATTAATAAACGATTGTATCTAATGCAAGGTGAATTTCCGACTTTCAGCAGACGAGGATCGATCTTTAGATCAATACATGAAACATTTGGCTGTCGAGACAAATTTCAAATCAATCACAAATGAATTAGGCGAGCGAATAATTTAAATAAAACATTTGAAATAAATAAATAATAATGATAAGATAAATAATCACAAACATTTACACGCACAATAATAATACGAATATAAAAATTATCATCAGCAACTGCAATCACTCCAACATTTACATGATTAAGGCAGTTTTACAGCATGTCGAGATCTAACTCAAGGCATTTCTGGCTACACTAAAGGGAGAAACCCTTGTCTGTAGGTCGTTTAGAAAGCTACAGTCAAAGTCCACAGATTCACAAGCTCTATTAAAGCTAGAAACGATGGAGACGTATGTACAGCCTGTGAATTCAAGGCATGTTCTAGGATTCTTAGGTCTAAAAGCTAAAAGCACTTGTGCGGAGATCCTAGAAAAATAAGCAAACAGTCTAACCTGTTGTACCTCATCCAGATAAACTACACTGGTCAAAATCAAGGTTCTGCATCGATGCTTGCATGAAGAACTTAAAAAAAAGACAGGTTCCTTTTCTTTTTCTTTCTTTTTTTTGTGGAACCAAAAACCTCCTTTTGTTTTTAAGAGACAGCAGGATCGGCATTCAGGTGCTCATCTGTGGGTTAAGGCAGTGCTTCCCGACCCGTTTTGGACGTCCTCTTCCTCCTAATCAAACAGTCGGACTGTCTGGGAAGCACTGGTTTAAGGCACAGCTTCAGCAGGCTGGACGCACCGGCATCTGAAGCAGGATGACCTGCCTGTTCTCCGACGGGTGGCATTTGTTGATGTGTCTCGTGAGGCCCGGTGAGCTGTAAAACATGGCGGGACAGTATTTGCACGGGTACACCTGCGCCGAGTGCTGCAGACGGATGTGCCTCTCCTGGCTCAGTCTGCTCGGGAAGTTTTCCCCGCACACCGGGCACAGGTGGCACTCGGACGCGCTGAGATTCAGAGGCGCTTGGCTTTGGGGTTTGTCGCACGCAGATTCGTGAAGCGCCGTCACGTGCTTTTTCAGGTACGCCTGACGTTTGAACTTCTTCCCACAGTGCGGGCAATCGTACAGACCGTCCTCCGATCCAGACTCGGAAAGTCCAGGACTGGGAGTGTCCCTGTCGCTGGACGTCTCGTGCTCCTTTTCAGGCGCGGGCGTCTTATTGCTTTCCGGGTTCCCCGGTTTGGGTTTGTGCCACCGCCGGTGCGAGGCCAGGTTCGCCGGGCAGCTGAAGAGCTTGTCGCATTCGGGGCATCGGTACTCGATCCGGACGATCCTGGAGCACTTGTGTTGGGCCAGAGAGAAGGGATCGGCGTACGCCTCTCTGCACAGCTGACACACGAACTCTCCGAGCGGCTTGTCTCCTCCCGCGCACTGAGATCTGGGCTTCTGCTCGAGTGGACCTTCTTTGATCTTCAAGCCCAGCACCGGAGAAGTGGTCATCTCGTCCTCGAACTGCAGTTTCCGCATAGCTTTGGCTTTCTTGGACGCGGCTTTGCCTTTGCGCTCGGTGTCTGGTGCGGGTCTTTTCGTGGTTGTTGTGGTGCCGGTTCGGTTGCTGTTGCTGGTGCCGATTTTAAGATCCACGGGCGCGAACGGCGCGAGATCGGAGCTGTTGGGCGCCGCCGGGAAGGACTCCGCTGAGATAGGCGAGCCGAGATTGAAGCGCCTCTCCAAACATGCCCTCTCGTGCTCCCTGCTCACCGGTCGGGTCGGGCTGTACATGGATCGGTAGACTGTCTCGGGGTTCCCGAACTGCACCGGTGAGACCGGGCGGCGCGCGCACAGCGCGTCCTGCTGCGCGGCTGGAAACGCGCCCTGCTCATCCTCATCCGAGCGGACGCGGTACGAAACAGGTGTCGCTTTCTTATTTCTCTTGACTAAAAATCCTCTGGGCATCTTCGTGAGCTGAAAGGCACTTCAGACGGGTTGAAATCAGAGGCACACCTGGTACTATATTTGGACGCGCGCGGTGATCTTTCCATCACCGAGGCATAGCAGCAGTCTTTTTAAGCTGGAATGATGACATTGTTCTCGCCCCTCGCCGCCTCGTCCAATCAGATGGAGCTGGAATCCCTATGGATTTGGAGATGGGAGGGTCTGCAGATTGCTCGGGCAGATGTACCTGAGGTTTATTATATTAGGATGCTTTAGGCACACGCTGGTTCCTCCTCTTTTCACGCTTTGATGCGTCCCGTCAATGCGCACGTGCCCTGCCTTTGTCAGCAGCCTTTAGGGCTCCTTCAATCTTAGAGCATCAGAATTTCAAATTAAAAAAGGGGGAAATGGCAACAAAGAAGTCGTGCAATGTTCAATTTTTAATAGGCCCGTGCTCGCGTTTGCAAAGCGGCGCGGTTGAACACAAATGTCCTGAAATCAGTTTGTGCGGCGAAAGGGCCGCTGCGAGGTGCATGCGTAATTTGTCTCGGAACTAATTAAATGTATAAATCAGACGCCTGCAGGCTTAGGACATGTGCGACAGTTGAATGCGGGACGTATTAATCACTCTTTGCGCGCATACATAATTCATAAAAGAGGCTCCTCTCGTTTGCATCACAAAAGACACGCTTGCGCGAGCTGCCGGGACAGACGCACATCATCCTTCTGTTCAAACGGACTCATTCCTGTCTGAGACTCACCCGTGCCATCATCATCAGCAGCAGCATCATTGTGCTCGTGCATGTGATGATGTCATTCCAATGCAACGGTCTCGTAATAGCGGAATTTCGCGTAATCTCCGGCGTCTTTGTAGTTCCAGACTTGCACATTTGTTGTATGTGATTTCATAACTCGTTGTGAGCGTTTAAGAGGAACATATTGCCTTTTTTAAATGTCCACATACAAGATTTTTTTGGGGGCCAGATGGTTTACTTGCCTAGCACATTTGTTGCACCTGATATCTGATGTGCAAACCTTTTATTTTATGTTGCCAATTCACTTGATTTGCATTTTAGAGAAACCTATGCAGTTTTTACTGCCTTTTAAGTTTTTTTTTATTCATTTTCACATTCAAGACTCAGCGTTTGTTGCATCTGAAATAGGTTCATTTCATAATATGTTTTGGACATCGGATCTGCTTATGAGCTACATGACGGTGGACTGTTGGATCATGCGCCTGTGATTTTCTTCCCCACATTCATTATCATACAGCTGCTGCTGCTGCTCTTATCTCTGCTGCCTTCAGATCGCCACTTCATATACAACCCAATACTGGATATCACATACACAGAGTATAAGTCAGTTATTTTTAATGAATTGTCACTCAGTAGGCTACACACTAAATATTTGCATTTGACAAAACCAGAAGCTTTATTTATTTGCTCAAGTTCTTTGACCCCAACCCCCCACAATGTGCCCCCCCCCCTCCATCAACATATGGTGCAGCAAATGTAAAGAAATAAAGAAACAAAAGATAAAGTACTGCTCCTAAATGTAAAATGGATATTGATTAGAGCAGTCCCGGCCGGGCGTACATGGTCAGATGGTATCTGTTGTACCTCAGATAATCCAGAACACTCTTTCTCAGAGCAGAATAAGCCTCGCTTTTCTGAAACTCCTCGCTGAGACCCGTCAGCTGATCGGACTCGGCTTTATCGTCCGCTATTTTCTGAAGAGCCTCTTGAATTGACACTGAACCACTCTCACCCTGTCAGGACAAAACACAATACAATATGCTTCTAAAAAACAAACAAACACATTTTGGGTGACAACAAGCGAGATGTTCTTTCATTTTATCTTATGATCATGCTTTATGCGCCTTTAGAAGATCCTGTGTATTTTCCCCCCACATTCAAGACCCAATTTTTTTGCAAGATGGTTTGCCAGATGTGGACAAAGATGTTTATTATTCTGTAGTTTGTTTTATTTTATTTTTAACATTGCATTTCTGCCCACCAGAGCAGAGCATTAAAATGATGGGTGCATGACATGTTACGTAATTTTATCTAACATCAACAGGTGTTTTGGAAAGAGGGTAAATGCTTTAAACATAGATGACACACAGTAGATGTAAAGGAAACCGACCTGTAGTTTGGCCGAGTCCATGATTTGGCGCACCTCCTGTTCAAAGTCAGCAAAGCGGTCGTGATAAAGAGCCAAGCACCAGTTCTCTTTAAAATAACTGCGCAAAGAGGAAATAAAAAAGTTACTTTTGGATTTAAAGACTAGTTTGAGGTCAGTATGTTTTTTTGATTTTGAAAGAAATTGAATGAATTTAAATTTAAAGAGACAGTAGAGACATTTATAATGTTAATTAAATGAAGTTTTTAGTCATCAAAGAATACTACAAAAAAATGAAATATGAAGCAGCACAACTGTTTTCAACACTGATAATAATCAGAAATGTTTCTTTAATTATTCAAATTAAAGTGATTTCTGAAAATTCAGCTTTGAACACAGGAATAAATTACGTTTTAAAATATATTCAGATATCAAATCGTAATAATATTTTACAATATTTCTGTTTTTACTGTATTTTTAAATGCTGTAAATGCGAGCAGAAGAGTGTTCAAAAACATAAAAAAATCGAAATTCTCAAAATTCAATCATTATGTGTGACTTGGTGTTTTAATGATGCTTTTATGGTGTTTTTAAAGCTTGACAGACATAGGCACTGTATAAATGAGATGGTCTGGATAAAGATAATTGTTCCTTTTCAGCCGACAGGTGAGGAACGACATGAGTAAATAATTACAGAACTTTAATTTTTGGGTGAACTGTCGCTTTAACTCTGGATGTTCACAATGTTTATCTAATATTCTCCATATAGCAGCACGGTTGATAAATCATGTCCACGATCGTCTTTAAGACCGGCCGTTCCCCGTAATGACATTGAGCGCCGACCACATTCAGTAACGACAAAAGACCAGTGAAGAATCCCATTTTAATAAGTGTGATCAGCACTGATGGGTGGGGGGCTTAACCATTGTCTCCTGGCGGTGTGGTGAAGCGGATTGCACACCTGCATAAACGGATTACTAATGCGGGACAAAGGCTCTGGTGGGGAAGGGTCAGTGGTGGGAACGTTTTGGAGCAGAGGTCACACTGTTGGAAATGAATCTTCATGTAAAGTGTGACCAGAAATGAGTGTCATAAATAATCCTGTGCATTAATTCAAGAGCATTAGTTGCTAGATTTGCTGTTTCGGGAATGAAATGAACAATCAAAACTGGTTCTAGGGTGAATCTAACACGAACATGTGTAGGCCAAATATCTCCACAAAAAAAGAGGGGAAATACACACACACACACACAGAGACACACATATTGCATACATAATGCACACTGAGAATAATATAAATTAACTTACCAGTAAAACATCCAGACCTTTTACAAATTTGTAATACACACTGTAAAAATGAATATGCTTTATCTAATCAATAGAATTGTGGCAACATATTACAAGCAATATTATTAATTAAATTTAACAAATTAGAATTGAGTTATAATTCATCAAATAATCCCTTAAAAGTTAACCATTTAAAATGAGTAACGTTTACACCAAAAAATTAAACAAAAATATCTCACTAACAGACAGACGTCAAAAATTAATTAAAAACTCTTTATTTTATATTGCCAACATTGAAGACACCTGATGTTAACAAGCAGAACCACTGAAGGAGAAAACCATCATTTTAAAACAAACACCGATCACCACAATGGTGACTTCAATTTATGTTTTTTTTTTTTTTGGTGGTTGTTGTAAGTTTTACTCATTTGAAATTGTTAACTTTTAAGGAATTAATTTGATTAATTATTACTCAATTCTAATTTGTTAAATTGATTTAATAATATTGCTTGTAATCAATTCTATTGATTAGATAAAGCGTATTCATTTTTACAGTGCAACTTTATACAAAATATTGTCCCCCTTTGTTTTTAGGGTGAAATTTGACTTCCTTGTTTGATTCCACCATGAATAAGGTGAGTATCATGTTAAATTGACATTTTTGAAGGGTTTTAAGATTTGAAATGAGTCTAAGCTTGTCATCAGGAGACTGTAACAGAAAAGATTTCTGTGACAAGGCCGGACCTGTACATGTCGTGGACCAAACCCTCGTGGTAGCGTGAGCAGAGGTGATTCAGCAGCAGCTGGTGTTTCCTGTAGAGACACACGAGGTTGGAGACAGGAAGTGCATTCTTCGAGAGGCACGTGACGCTCTCCACCACATCATGCTGGCTGAGATGCAGACGAAAGTAGTTCCCCGTTTCAGTGCGGCCCGTCACCAAGTCACGACCCTGCAGGACAGATCATAAAGGTGGATGTTTTTGCAACACATGTTCACACTTGTCATGTTTGGCTCGATTAGTGCGGTTCATTTGAAGAAGTCTAAACGCTGCCATCTGAACCCTGGAGCACCAAACAAGCGGGCCGAGACCGCTGTAAAGTTAACCAAATTTATTTTTACACTCCACAGATCAATAAAGAAATAGGAAGATTATGCATTTCAATATAAAGCACCATATGATTGGAATAAACTTCCAATTTCAATTCGCTCTTTTGCTATTTGTTATGTTAAATTCCAGCTGCTGTAAATTTTTTTCCAGGTCAATTTTTTATTTGAATCTAGAATCGAGGACCCCCTCGAAAACGAGATGGATCATCTCAAGGGGCTATTCCTCTTTAATAAAAAATGTCAAATTTAATGTCAAAGATCAACACAGAGACCAAAATCAGGACACGAAGTCACAAGATGCGAGCCTAAAAAGGGTCATAGTTCACAGTACAGGATCAGAACCGCGTCTCCTCACAGATGTTCTTCATGTGTGTGTGACGGAGGGATTCCTGCTGCTGTTTTGACTCCTTTACACATTTGATAAGCTCTTCATTTTTCGTTTTTTGGTCTGCACCAAAAGAACCAGGAGAACCGAACTACAAGTGTGAACATACCCAGCCAATCCACTAGGATTATTTTCTGATATGATGACAAACTTATATTTAAACGTACTTTCTGAGCTGATGGAGTTTCGTGGCCTTTGGATGTCGGTTTTGACACGTGAAGATAATTGTAGCCGCCTGGTAATCTCCCCCCTGTGAATTCAGAGTATTTTTATTTTTAAGTTATTCTTAATAACACTTGTTTTTACAAACACAAAATTAATAGCGTTTCCCCCCAGAACACCACAAATATGATTATAAAGCAGTTTATCTCATATCAGACACTGTGT